GTAGTAAGGCCAGGAGCTACTAGTAGCCTCCTTGCTCCTAGTAGCGAAGCCCTAGGAATGACAGCAACACCTGCAGGTCTTGAGCGCCGAAAACCATGACGAATGCGATGACACGCGATGACACGATGGCAGAGCCCTTGTGGCAGGTGACGCAGCCAGTGCCAGAGGCTTCGCCAAAGCGGCGGAAGGAAGGCCGAGGGAAACGATGCTCTTGGTGGGCCATACGGAGGTTGGACATCGTTTGACCATTTTTTTTTGGAATAGAGGGGCAAAGCAGCATACCGACCTGTGATTCAGTGATGGGCTTCCAGTTCCAACTATTTTGATTTGGAGCAGAGGCTGATTTCTCCGCTAAATGTTTTTGCAGGTGGCTGTGTAAGGACAACCTCGATCCACATCACTGCGTTTCGGGTGCCCTTGTCTGAGATACATTCGCATTCTACTTGCGGACTGGCTGAATATTACACTTTCCTTGAACCTTGAAACCCAAATTTGTCTATATTGAAACCATGCTACAAAGTATTTGACTGCACAGGCACAGTTCCCATATTTTCCTTCAGACATTTATTTTCAATCCAAATATTATACCCATCGCACTGGCCCAATCCAGCCGCCTGGCCAATCTGGAGGCGATCCTGCTGTGCCGGGCATTTCCACGTTCAAGGCGCTGAAATGAGGGAAGGATCCGTCGCTTGCCTGGCCTAAGGAGCGGCCAGGCGTTGGGGAGATGTTGAGGTTGACTGTTCTTCTCGATGGCCTCCAACCTAATAGCAAAAGGAACCTACTAGGATATGATGGTTTCCGATGGATTTGCTGCCATGGATTCTGGATCTGAAAGGGACTTTGCGTGGGATTTAGGAGTACCAAGTCCGCAGTCACTAGGTGAAGGACTCCCACAAGGGAACCGAGGGTAGACTCGTCGGTGTGTAGGACGATTGAGTTTGATCATAACATGCTTCTGTATAGATCTTTCTCACACAGCCTCAGTCGAATGCAACGGTAGCCTTGCCTGAAATCAGTCTGACTCGCCTGTGGCCATTTTGTGTCTGAAGGAGCCGCAGAACAGGGGAAAATTGTGACAGGATGTTGGAGAGCTGAGTAGCATCAAGAAGTCTAGCAAATATTCTAAGATTTGTTTGTGGACATGCCAAATGATACTGAACGCAGCTTAACTTATATACTTTCATGTGTTGCCATGGTGTTCACAGTGACAGCAAGTTTTGAGTCTGTTGGAACCATTTTATGAGTTCTCAGCTCCGATGCGGCAAACCAGCAAGCAGGATGGTCCCACAGGTCTCAGTGTATGCTTCTTTGCCAAGTCGCAGGTTGGATGCAAAGAGATGCAAATAGTAGTCTATCGTGCCTACAAGACAAGGGATAATCCAATATGTCCGGTACACATAAGGTTGTTGAGATGTTTACCACTCTACCAGTTGGTTTTGCCGAATCCTATTGTTTGTGTGCATTCATTGTCTGCATTTTTTCCTACATGTGCATTATTGATCCATTTGTGTATAGGTCAAGATGTCTGTTTTATTGACACATCATACGGGGCTCCGGCTTCATCATAGCAGCAATTTCCCTTTGGGATCACCCCAAAAGCAACAGTTGCCGGCTCGTTTCCCGGCGCATGGACACCTGGGCCTGCCCTGCCTGCACCTTTGAAAACTCGGTGAACGCCGAGTGTTGTGAAATCTGCGAGAAGGGAAGGCACGGCCAAGGGAGAAGCTTTTGTGGGCTGGTGTTGCTTGCTCGTCAAACCTCAGTGGTCACCCATGCAGAGAATTGCCCTAGTGGACAAGATCCCATCATATGCACGCTTGGCATGGGTGCTTCGTTTCTTTTCCATTGCAGGCCCGGCAGCTGGGTATGTCAGTGGCTGGGTGGAGAACACTGTTTGTGAAAATGAAGGAGGATCAGTTTGGCAGGCTTTACAACATTGAGAGAAGCTGTCAATGGATCAATAGTACAACTAGCTTGTTTGAATAGGAACATCGACCAAGGCTGGTCAGTCTGTAGTTTGTTGAATGGAATAGAATGTTTTGACACAGAAACTAAGACTAAAGTCTTTTGCTGCTCATCACCTGAGAAAGGTTGAGAGCTCGCATTCTGAGGATTTTTGATTGTGGATATCGTTGTCGCACATGCGGTGACACGGACAGGTTGTCGGTACCTGTAGATCACTTACTTTCCATTCTCGAATGTCTTGGGTATGGGAGCTGAACTTACCGATCTCAGGAAGTGTACTCTGCAGAACGCGGATGGCGTTGCCACTGGTCAGAAAGGGGGGTGATTGTTGACAGTGACAGTCGACATACCGGGAGGTGAACATCTTGTGATTCATGCATGGTGAAGGAATCATGGGAATGTTAGCTTCTTTGAAAGGCTCCATCAAACATGTTTGTTTCTTTGGAAGGCTTCAAAGAATTTGTTTGGATGTTGATGCTCAGCAGCCCTCTTTTCCGGCTTCGCACTGCACTTTCTGCCGAGGATGTCTGTGAGGCTTGTGGGAAGCCCCGGGCCCAAGTGCCCGCGCCCAAGGTGGCACCCAAGGGGCCGAAGGCCGTGAACCGCCTTGAGCTGGGAAATCGTTTATTTATATACTTTGTTTTTCTATTCTATTTTAGACCTTTCGCTCCTTTGCTTTCCTTTCGTTTTCTCCAGTGCGTCAATCATTGGTCAAGATGATGTGTCATTTTTCTGCTGAGAATCTGTTTGCTCCGTTGTTTAGAAGCTTTGCGACATCGGTACTAGTCGCAGCACCTTGGTACATCCAACCAAGCATGCAGTTCTTCAGCTCTTCAGTAGTGCTGCAGACACTTAGCACGCAAATCTAAAGCAAATTACAAGCAGATAGATCTCAAGGATGCTCTCCTTTTAAAGGTGTGCACTCCATGGAGGACATGCGCACTATCCAGAACGTAGCTTGCAGGCGAAGGCAAGCAAGAGGAGTGAAGCCTGGCCCGGATGCTCAAGCGGCGCTTTCGTCTTTCTTTCTTTCTTTATTTCTTTTTGTTTCTCTTTCTTCAAGCGATGCAAAAAACATGCCTCCACGCCGTAAACTTTGACAACATGACGGTTGTAGTTTCGCTATCGCTTCCATTTTTCATGCCGCTCCCACTGCATCTTGGCCCGGAGACCTATGGATCGAGTGCTCTCCAGCTCGGCGATGATCAGCGTGCACTTCGCCGCCTCGGGAGAGGAGGCGGCGCGTTTGGACTTGGAGGAGTGCCAGGAGGTGGAAGTCTTGGGGAACACCGTGCGGGCGCTGAAGCGGGTGCTGGCCAAGAAGCTGGGAGTTCCTAGGTGGGAGATATCCACGGTCTGGGTTTGGGTATCCAGACGTTGTGCTTGTTTCAAGAGTATGACTCGGATTCTATTTTTGATGAGGAACTCATGTCCATATTGGAGTCCACAGTTCGGCTATCTTCTTTTTGCGCCAGGTTTCGCCAGCACCTCTTCTGCCAAGAGAGAGGGGAGTTGAATGACAAAGTTTCGTTGTCCCCGCCTGAAGAACTGCCGCTAGGTTGACATGTGCTTGTTTGATTGATGGTCTACAAGGCTTCTTTCCTATGTCGAGCCACTGCCTGTGGGTGTCTTCATTAGGGGGTCACATTCTTATTTTTGAACATGCCCCTTCGCAAGTAAGTAAAACCTCTGCCAAATCCAGAAGAATGCGCAAAAGGAAGTTAAGACCCCTTTATAGAAATCCTTAACTGCCGTTTTTCATCTCTGTTCTTTTTGTTATTATGCATTTGATTGGTTTCCTTTGAGAGCCTCACTGAGGCAGCTGGTGATCTTGAGCTTTTGGCCGTCCGAAGAGAAGGCAGACCAGAAGTTCATTGCAGCCTGCCGGGAGAACCGTGCAGAGGAGCTGGAAGCCATGCTGCGACGGCCCCAAGACCCCACCACCAGGTTTGCTCCAGAGCAGTGTTTTTGATTTGTTGGAATACTTCTTTGATTGCTTCAAGAGTCTTCTACTGAACGAAGATTTGATTTGCCGTAATTTTTTGTAGTCAATAGGTTAGGCTTAGGAAGGTCGTCCAGACGTCAATTGCTTCCAAGCAGGGACGAAGACGGCCGACCTGCGCTGCACATTGCTGCAGAAGAGGGCCATGTGCAATGCATGAGCTTGCTGCTTGAAGCTTTAGCTGGGGCCACAGAGGAAGTCAAAGGCACGAAGAGTGCATGAGGGATCATTGGACTGTTCGAGTTTGTGATATACCGTATACCCCTGAGAGGTTTCTGAATATGATGACTTGATATTTTGCGTTCCACCTTGCAAGAGTACAGTAAAGACCTGTGTGATCCTAAATCGCAAACAGAAGGCGTTGAGCACATGTTTCCATTCATCTTCACACGGGTCCAGGCACTTCACCCTCGCATTTGGCTGCTAGCAATGGGCACTTGGAAGTGCTTCGGCTGTTGCTGGAGAATGGTGCTGACAAGGACAAGACTAATCCGAATGGATTGACTCTGATCCGCTTGGCTGCCTTAAATGGACATTTGGAGGTGGTGCGTCTCCTACTCGACTTGGGCGCAGAGAAAGACAAAGCCTCGAAGGCCGGAGCCACGCCCTTGCACTTGGCGGCCTTGAATGGGCATGCAGAGGTCGTGCGCTTGTTGCTGCAGGCACGAATCGCAATATTCAATCTTCTGATTTTTTTCATGGTGGGGGCAATTTGGGTGCAGTGTGTGTAGAGTACAGTATATAGTTCTGCTGAATCATGGCAGGCCAAACCTTGCTTGGCTCGCGCGGCAGGTTGCATCACCCCGGGTTCACGAAGGGAGAGACAGATCTCGTGTTCATCACATGTTTCAGATATTGTGCCCTCGAGGTGCATGCAGAAAAAGACAAGCCAACCTTGGCGGGTGCCACGCCATTGCACTTGGCGGCCCTGAATGGCCACCTGGAGGCTGTGAGGACGTTGCTGGAGGCTCAGTGCCACACAGATGCCCGGACCAGCGGAGGCAAGACGCCACTGCACGGGGCGGCGCTCAATGGCCACACGGAGACTTGCATGAACTGTTGGACATGGCTTACTTGTACATCCAACTGGGCTAGCTTCATGTTCTTTGGGCGCAAATTTTTGGTTGTTCGAAAATCAGGAATTCGTAGTTCGCAGTGTTCTCGGAGCTGTGACTCCAAGGAGATTGTCCGGCTATTGCTAGAGGCGGGCGCTGAAGATCTGCCGGCGGAGGATGGGTTGACCGCGCTGGAGCTGGCACAGAAGAATGGACACTGGGACGTGGCGCAGATGCTGGCTGAGAGACACTGAGACCTTGAGGTCCATGAAGGAAGTAAAGGTGCAAAATGGAGATGAAACTCTTTTATGTATCTTATGAAGATATGGTCAGCCAATGTCAGCGTTTGGACCATAGCTTCGAAGTACCCGTTGGATCATTTTATCATGCGATTTGTGGCAGGGCCTAAGCCTTGCTCGTCTTCTGACACTGAAGTGTTGGTAAGAGCTCCGCCTTTGAATATGCGGGGAGCAAAGAAGTGCGAAGTCAGAGGCAGACCTGAAGAATACAGGGGATTCCCAGTGCACAGCGATTGTCAGCAATTGTGGGTTGTTTATTGTGTGAATCCAAACGGCCTCAGGCGCCCTGCAAATCACCTCTTGGCCAGCAAGGGCTATACCGCCAAGGCCCTTGGACCAGAGAAAGTCATTGCAAGGACACGCCTAAAGATCAACCTCTCGGATTTCTCCTTTCTTCATTTACCAGCGTCAATGTGGTGGATCAATTCGGCAGAACATGTACAGCATTATTTCTACTTAGCTTCTTGTTACTACTAGCTTTATTGTTACTAGTAGTAAGGCACCTGTTCCTACTAGCGTGGCACTTGTTACTACTAGCTTCTTGTTCCTAATAGGTTCTTGGATTTGTGTGCTCGATATCTTTATCCAGCTCACCAGGCCTCTGCGCCCGTGCGGCGTGGCGCCAGCTGGGTGGTGGCCAAGGGGGATTTCGTGCGTCGGCAGCCCAGGTAGACAGGGAGTTTGCAGAGCTGCATTGGCATAGGCTGAAGAGGCTGAAGAGTCAGTGCAGCTAGTTTCTGCAGCGCCAGGTGAAGAGTACCTTTGAACAGTTTAATAATTGTCCTTCAGTTTGTGCGTCACTGAAATCACCAAAAAGTTCGAAAAGACAGTTGGGCCCACCATCTGCATGATCAACTCTCGATTCTGTTTGACTGTTGACCGATCGTTTGTGGCTGAATCTCCATCAGCCCATGAAACCATACATGATCTCACGGAGCAATGAGGTGGATCCTGCCGCCTGGTCTTGGATGCTAGCCTCGCACGAGGCCAGATTTCCCTCGGCACTGCCACCAAAGATAACGATGCAGGCCATACGCCAATAAGGTGAAATTCACTTGATTGATGAACCGACCGGACTACAGGAAGTCATGTTCCACTGTTCCACTGACTTTTGTCGTCGTGCGGAGTCGTGTGGAAGGGATTGTGAAACTCCTCCTCGTCGCGTGAAAGTTTGTTCACCTCGCCTCCAAAGGTGATCCTGCGGCCGTGGCAACTCTGGGGGGGCAAGGACTTATGGGAGCGAGTGGCTCTGACTGGTCAGAGAGTGTATAGTTCATAGGGCAAGGACTAGTGATGCAGGTTACGACCTTGCATCTCGTTCCAAACCATGTCTTGTAAACAGTGGTCCATCTTGCCGCAACAGTGGTCCAGTTTAATAGGAATGCAGCTTGCTTTTTCGGGTGGAGCGCTGGAGGTTGGTTCACACGTCAACCTTGCAAACGACAATTCCGCTCCCCAAATTGAGACCTGTCCACATGTGTCAGTAAAGGTCTGGCGTGTGGACATGCCCTGTGAGGCCAGGGTCAGTGCAGCAGATATTTCGATCTTCGGTGTTGCCACCAAAGGATGAGAGGGCCGTTGGCCTTTCCAGCATACTCAACCTCATCATATCTTGGAACTAATAAGTGACAGAATCGTGGAGTTCTTGATTGCTCCTGCTACCCTTTTTCAGGAAGGCTTTCATGAATATTCCATACATTTTCATGGACCACGGCCTGTTGGAATCCAATAGCTGCCTGGAGCGTTGCAGACGGCGGAAGAGCTGCCCACCTGTCCCATATGCTTGGGTGTCTTGGCGATTTGCAACAGCTGAAAATCGCCTCTCCAAAGCATAGGATCTGTATAGCCCTGCCATTCAGCTGCATGGAGTATTTAGTGGCCAAGATGGGGTGTAGAAGCACTCTCTACAGGTGATGTCTCAATGCGACGTGTGATCAAAGGTTTCCGGGTTTGGGATTCGGGTGGCTTCAATTTGAGTTGAAAGCATAAAGAGCCACAACAGAAGTCGAATCCCTTGCGGCACTGACATTGGCTTGGGCTACAAGTCTGTCCCTTTAGATCTTGCAGCGGTTTACAGTCAGGATATCAACAGAGGTTCCAGAATGAAAGAACACATCGTAGTAGACATTCGCAGTTTAGTTCGGATGCCCTCTACCAGAATTCCGTGAACTTGACTTCTCAACTGTTCGCAAGAAACCATAATATTTCAATATTTCCATCTCATCTTCTCCTGTTCTAGACAAGAGAAGCAGGCCTTTGCAAAGAGATTGGAGGACCCAGCATCCAGCACCAATGCATGACATTTGGTGGTTTCCACAAGAATGTACATGAATAACACCTTCTGAGGTAATGAGAATCCAGAATGACTCCCCGCAGCCTGTCCCAAGGCGAGCCGGAGCTCATCCGAACGCCGCCCTGTGGGCATGTCATCTGCTTGGCCTGTGCACTGCGGCTCCAGCAACAGGCGGCGGAGAAGAAGGCCGCCTCGAAGTGCCCGGTGTGCAGCAAGGCTCCGGGACATTTTGGGCGAACAAGTGCGTGGACGTGTGATTTGGGCTTGGAGGGATGCAATTTGAGACTTTCTGTTTTATTTTTTCGTTGTTGTGACAAAGCTTCTTGCTTCATAGGTGTGAGTAACGGTTCCAATCCAATGGCAAAGTTCAGGTGTGTTGGCATGATTCTCACCGCAAAGAATACCCTCGCCCTCTCCAAAACAAACACACACACACACACTCTCATGAATCATGGTGATTTGCTGGGCTGAAAGTGGCTAGACGTGGCTAGAGAAAGCTGAGAAAGCTGCAAAGCGACCCAGGGGGGTGCGGCTGAGCGATCTCCGTCCGGTGCGTTTGGAGCTTCAACATCTCCCCAAGCCGGAGCCGGGGGTCGCCCTCAGGTGGTCGTGCGGGAAGAGTCCGTACCCACAGGTTAGGAGGATAGGTGGAAATTACACACATGTATGTATACAATGTATACTATATAGTTACTACATATATGTATACATGTGTAGTTTTTTTCTTTCTGTGTTTCCCTTGCCAACATTGAGGTTTTCGTTGGGAAGTCTCTTTGGTTGCCGCCTTTTCTCCAGCTTTCTGAGCTCCAATGAATACCAAAAGGATGCCCAAAGGATGCAAAGGATTTCAATGGGTCCAGGTTGATGCACTTCGGCTGTACTCCAGGAGGAGTGTGACGAGGGCTTGAGCTTCACCCTGGTGCGTCGCACAGGGATGCACTACTTGAGCTTGGCCAGCGCGGGCCACAGTTGGAGCCAGTTGACTAGCTCAGTGTGAGGTTCGCTCTGGACAACGGTTCCAACATGTTTTTCCATCCTCTTCCGTGTGTAGCTCGCCTCAGGTGCCCAGATTGAATTGACTGTGTGCAAACGACATTCTTTCAGCAGGCGAGCAGCTGCCCTCAAACTACCGCCCGCACTTGCCGTTGGAAGGAGAGCCAGGCGTGGAACGATCACAGAGATTTTGACTACAGCAAAGCTCCGCAGTACAGGGTGGTTGGTGGTTGAGAAGGAGCGACTTTGCAGCTGGCGTGTGTGCGTGCCTTGAGTCCTTGCTACAAGTGCTCGCAAAGACAGCTGTCTTCTGATGTTTTGAGCTTTCAGAGAGCCTTGGCTGTACGATTTGTACGCCTCATCCCGATTGATCATGCAATTGGACGGTCATGCAATCACAACCCGGCGATCCCACCGGACCTTCCAACCATGCACTGACCTGACCTTACTAATAGGAGCAAGGACGCTACTAGGGGCTCCTGGCATCGCTACTAGGAGC